TTTTTCCGGTGTGAGCTTGTTAAGAATACCCCGTACCTTTCTAAAGATGAGATCATTTCGGCTTTCTGGGGTGAGTGCATCGCGTCTAACAGTTGAAGGAGGGATCCAGCGTAGCTCAGTGGATAGGGAGCGAATATCGTCCCTGGAAGGCATCGAATTTTTCTAATGTCAGTGTCAACGCAAGTAGCAACGTACAGGGACGATTTGCGCACTATTTTTTGTAATAAGTAACGCGTTTAATTGGTTAAATTTATTTTTTTTTTTTTTTTTTTTTTTTGTTAAAGTCAATTCACGGCAATAATTCTCACGCAGATCTGCGAGCGGAAGAACTTGGCGTTTTACACGACGGAGGCATTCAAGAACGCTCTGAACATTTATCTGACGTGTAAGATCATACATATAGAGACCGGAAGAACCGATAGTTTAGCGATGGCTCTGACGAAGGGAAATCCTTATACCGGCCTCATGAATTATCAGTAAGTTCATAAAATGCATACCGATATATAATTTAATTATTTATAAAGCGGTATACTTTTTTATCTAATGTGCGCATTGAAAGTATGCGTCTCTCATTTTCCATCAAATTTTTTGATATTTGAAAAAGCATCAAGGATATATTTTTCTAGATAGAATTAACGAGTTTCATATCATTATCCTTAAAAATTTAATTTTTAACAAGATTTTTCAAGATGAAAGTTTCGTTTAAAAATTTTGAGAAGATTCTGAGAGAATCTCATTAAAATAGTATAATATTAACGAGAATTGTAATAAATCGTTGAAAAGAAATAATTAGATTGCGATAAAAGAAAGTTATGTTCAAGTAGAATTATTCGTGGTTGTTAATTTTTAAGACAAATGTTTCAAATATTTTTCAGTTTACGGCGATTTCAGCTTAATGGCGTCATAAATAGATTGAAGAGCAAACATTTCTTAGAAAGCAATCCACCGGCATCGAATTATAGCGTGGTTAGTTTAGAAGATATAGTGCCGACTTTGACGATAGTGACAGGTGCTATAGTCCTGGCATTGTTTATCTTAATAATCGAGAAAATGTATTATTCTTTCAACACTCGATTTAAAAGCAACGAGTCAAAAAATCGAGTTACGCGCAAAATTATAAAAGCGAAAATGTTTCAAAAATATTATGAATAATCGATCGAATATTAGCATAATATTAAAAAAGGCAAGATTTTTATTTTAAACAAGATCTACTTGAAAAGATATATACGTCTTGCAGAGATTGTCGTCTGCCTGTCATATTTAAGAAAGCGCATGCCGATCCGCATTGCATTACGAAGAAAAAATATTTACATGAAAAGAAGGTGGGCTGGATTGCGTAACGCTGAATACGCTTCTGGTTACACACAGCAATGCGTAAAGACGCATTGATTTATGAAGAAAATAAAAAAAGAAAAGAAAAGAAAACGCGTATATCCCGCGACCTTTGCTGAAATTCGCCCACACGAATTTTGCCCACGCGAATGCAATGAAGAGAGAAATGTCCCCACCATCGGTCTCTGATTTACAAGAACGTGAACGCCCTTCTGATTTCGCTCAAGTATCACAATCTCGTCAAGTAACGATACGTGAACGCGAGCGCGAGGTTTCGAGCATTCTCTCGCATGAGGGGCCACGTAGGTGTATTTTAGTATGAAATTATAATACTCCTTGAAATTTGATAATTTTTTACAGCTACATAAAAACTCGACGATTCGCCGAGAAAGAAGATTTTGTCATCTAAACATTTAAGAAGGCAATTTTGAAGGATCGAACAATTTTTTTCAGAAATCTTTATCAAAAGCTTAAATATTAATTTTTAATGATCCATTTTGCAGCATTTTCTTTAGCTATTATAATTATAATAATCAATACGCATTACATTTATGCATAAATAAAATATTCATTTTTATATAAATCTGATATTTTCTAATTAAAATAATTAAAATAATTTATATCGATATATAAGCATATAAAAATTACTTTATTTATTGCGTTCGATTTACAGATAATTAGTAATACTGTCAATAAATTATACTTATAATTATATATAAATTATTATTAGACAAGCGGAAATGCATCAGCAGTTTCTTGCACAATCGATTTGATACGCACTCAGGTAGCATAACCGCCGGCGGCCGTGACGGATGTGAGCGAGCACGTGCTTACATATCCGCTTTCCGTTCGACCGGAAGTGACCTTTGCCTCATTAGAAAAAATCCGCACGCACGCATCAAACCCCTGCAATGGATTGTTGACGATTGTTCGTCGCACACAAGTCGCGTGAATCGCCATTACCGCTGCATCGAAGATTAGCCGCGTTGATTATCAATTACGAAAATAAATACTCGTCCTCTTCGCGAGTATCAATTGGTAATAAATTAAACTGAACAGCACGCAATGGTTACGCGTGCGAGCGGCGAGAATTGCTTCTTCTATTGACAGATCATCTCGAGTCCCCTTTTTCAGGGTTCTTTTTTTAAAGTCGTCGAATTTTTATATTTTTTCAAGATTATATATGCAAGATGTATATTTAAAAGTTTGAAAAGAAGAACATCGAAATGAAAGCATATGAAATTAATTTCCTCTTGCATTCAATGTAAATGCAAACAATTAAGTTTTTTGAGATATATTTAATAAATTTAATATTCGAGATATTAATCCTACAAGACACGTTTAAACGAAGTTATGAACTTTGATTAACCGTCTAAAACTTAAAATATAACGAGTAAATTTTAATAGAAATCCTTGACAGTAAACATTATTAATCGCATTAAAAATAATCCGATTAATATCCATTTGATTGCTTAATCAAATCGAATCTGACAGAATGACACGCATTAAAAGTAGAAGAAACCGTGAAAAATTACCTTTTCATTTCTTTGCTACGTCGCTGGAGAAATGTTCTAATAAAAAAAAAAAACATCGCATCGATGAGATGATGGATACGATGCAATCGCACGCGAGACGATTTAACGATGCATCTTTCTGTCGCGCGGCCTCGAGACATGCATTCTGCAGACATGCATAGTTATCTATTATCGGTGCCGACGATCGACAACTGTCGTTCCAGGAGAAAAATAAGAATTCTCGTCGAACGACTGCAGTCTCTCTCTCTCTCTCTCTCTTGCACTTAGCAGTCATTCTTGGCGCGTTGTGTCATCTCTCTGGGCTTGTCCAGAATGCCATTATATCTCGGCGCGACGGGAGCTTCTGTAGCCGATCGTAACAATAACAATAATTGTGAACCAGGAAACAATAATGCTCCTCAACGATAACCGATTGTCGCGCAGGAAGCAATGATGGTGACGATGACGACGACGACGACGACGATGATGATGATGATGATGACTATGGGGATCTGATCTCTGAGAAACCGTAAGATCGCACAGTGGCGTCTTTCGATAGCTTTTACTTGTATGCTTTAAAAATTTGGCGAGTTACACGCTGACAAGAAGAGATTGCGAATTTTTTTATCAGAATTTAATCAGAGATTTTCGTAGTCTTTATGTGATAACTTATAATTTTTGATAAATGTGTGTATTATATAATTACGTATTTATTTAAACTAAATTAAAAAAATCTCTTTTCTCTCTTCGGTAAAGAAAGAACATCTCGATATTTTTGCTGCTCGAATATTTTATACAAAGTTTATATTATGTAAAAAATATTTATTGCTTAATTTAATATAATTTTAAATATTAGTATCACAATTATTCTAACAGTGTTTTAGCAGTAAAAGAAATGAAGAAAATAGTTTGGCGAGTTATAAAGATCGGAGGAATCTTGTAGTGAATCCGTCACTGAACACTGATTACCGCGAAACTCATTAACGCGTTCGAGTGCGTGTAGGAAGGTGTTAGCTACGCGCTGGATCATTTGTCCTTATGAAACACTGATGGTTTTTAAACGAAGCAGCGGATGAAAATTATGAATCCAATAAGAACAGGAGTCGTTGTCCTCGACACCGAGTCGGAAATTACCTAACCGCTCCTGTTCTTATATAAAAGCGTCTGATAATTTAATTAGCTTTTCATAGATAAAATATTATGCGTATACGCGTATATATAGACGTATTAATTTTCTTAATACCCTCGAGTCACATAATTCGATTAGTAAATCGTTGATAAGTGACGCAATATATATTGTTACGGCAAGGAAGGAATAATTAATTAGTATTTAGAACATGGGAAGAGCAAGTATTACATTATTATTAATTATAAAGTAATATATATTTATTATTACACTTGAGATAATTTTTAATTGTTAGGTAGAAACTAAATATTATACATATATTGATGTAAAATGATTTTTTAAAAATAAAAAAGTTTAGCAATTTGTTAGGTCCTGCATATTTTTTTTTTATTTAATTCTGATTTAAAAATTTCATCATAAAAAAAGCAACAAGCAATTAGTTGCTATTCAGAATGTAAATTACATTAGACTTCATAATGAGACCATGTTGCTGATTAATATCGACGTTTATTTGGACACCATCAAAGTCTCCATTTGTCACGAACGACACGATGTCAACACAGCGTTTACTCAATGTCAAAACTGGAGGGACCGCCGACGTAAAGTTTGATCAACATCGTAGCCCAAGTACTATTGTGAAACGATACGATCGGCGATCGTAAAAGAATTTCAGTCGTGTACTTTGACTTTTGACCAAAATAGGTAGCCATTGAGGTCCTCGGTGTGTGCAACAAGCTCCTCTTATCTCGGAAGGACGAGCCACGAAAAGATTCCTCTCTCTCTCTCTCTCTCTTTCTTTCTCTCAAAACTATCCGCATGTTATTTTTCTCCGTTTACGTTATCATCTTTTATACTTCAAATTTTCTTATTTTTAATACAAAATATTTTTATTTTGATATGCAAATCTCGTTACATTTTACAATTCTTTTTATCATCTTCACATTTATTTTTTTTTTTTTTTACGAAATATAAATATGAGGAAATCTCCATCTCTCTTCCGCCAACGTCAGCCCACGTATACCGGGTGTCGCGTGGGTGTACACCACGTTGTGCACACACAGTAAAAGAGGGGGGTCGCGCGGTACCCCACCGCTGGGCGGAGGTATGTCATGGAAAGGAAAAGAGCTGTAGTGTACCTACAGCTGCCTGCCGTAGACGCGATTATGTTCGTGTCTGGCGAACCCATTCAGTACTTCTCACGGCACCGGGGGTACATGGTGCGGTCGCGACCACAAGCCGTTTCCGCGAGTGGTACACACGCACACGAGCGGTGCGACGAAGAAGTGCAGCGAGCTCCGGAAGATAAGCCCGCTGAGGAAGTCAAGGAAGAGCGAAGGATACAGCGAGAAGAGAGATAGAGGCGGGATAAGTGCAAAAAGTAACATTAAATTTTACTCTCTGGAGAAAAGACATTTGTTAAAATATATTGGACATAATTAAAAACTCTTTGAAAAAGTCTATTTTCCATAGGGATTGAAAACTTATTAAACATATTTAAAAAATGTTAAATAATGTATATTTCTTAACGTGCAATGAGAAAAACTATTAAAATAAGAATGTTTAGAAAAGTGCAATCGAAAAAGTAAAGAGAAAAAGAGAGAGTGAAGAGGTGGATGCTGATTGGCTATATTATTATTAAAAAAAACTATTTTTAAATTTTTAAAAAATTTTGACTGAAAGATATACAACGCGGAAAAATAGTGCGTGTTCAAGGAAGGACAACAACGAAGTGCTGGAAAAGAAACCGCGTCGCGGAAACTGAGATCCTTTCACGAACACTTCCGGCAACCGCGTGATTCGCGAAAAGTTTAGTTCCGTGCCAATTATGACAGCGCGATGCTGTAAACGTTCTTGTCGATAAAATTCTGCGAGTTATTCCGTGTCAATTCGCGCTTTCATCTTGGATGCGAGTTGGTGATCCTTGAATAGTGCTATTGCGTACAATCTAAACGCACGTAGAAAAAGAGAAAGAGAGAAACATCCGATTGGAAGATAAGAAAAGAGGAGGAAGACACACAAGGTCGAACGGAGCAAGGCAAATCCGCGTTTTTGGATTGTCTGGGTATCACAAAGGTAATTAGAACTAATTTTTATACGAAAAAGAGAGACAACATTTCTTGTATATTATTGTATATTATTATATATTAACATTTGTGTAAATTATTTATCGCGATATCTAATTGAAAGAGAATTAATGTATGCGAGCTATCGGTACGACGATCAGTTATCTACTTTTTCATTATATTGAAATCTTGATTCAATTAGTAACGCGAATAGTTTTAATGAATAAAACCGGATAATGAATCCAATAAAATTCAATGTGATAACTTTGGCGTGCTCTGGAGAGAAAGTAATTTAATGTAACAGCTGGAAAAGTTGAAATAGAGTCAGGCCACTTTCAGATACTTTTAGTAAGAATCAACCGAGATTTTTTCGAAAATCGATTTGCTATCTCGCGATCAACGTATAATGATCTGCTTGTCCTCCATTATAAACGAAAAATACAATTATTTTGTTAAAAGATATCGTTACCGAGATAAGTAAAAAACGCGGACTTGTAAATCATAGCCGTTCTTACTCACGGAAGTCGTATCCAAGTGGTTTTCCAAGCGTGGAGCAGTCGGCGCAAAGTACGCATCGCATTAATAGTATATAGACGCGATCAAAAATTTTAATTAAACCGTTATAATCGTTATAGACACGAAAAGTTATGTAAGCGATAATTATGTTGTCCCGTGGAATATATTCTCTTCGAACGAGATAAATCGCGCGACATTTTTCAAGGGATAAATAACGTCGATTAATCTCAATATATCGTGAATAGAATTTTTTTTAGAAACAAAACTGATAATCGATTGAGATAAATCTGGAGAGCCGATAAATCAGAGATTTCAATCAGCAAGAGACTCGTCCTCTATTCGGTTACATCATTCACGTGCAGCGAAACATAACGGAGTTATGTTATGTTATATGACAAATTATGTTAATTCGATGTATTACGTCATATATCTCCAAGAAGCAGCTTCCTAAACGTCGACAGGCGGTGCTCAGTCGAGATAGATTGTTGTTACACGGCTACAAACCGCATAGCGAGGAGAAGCAACGCTTCTCTACCGCGAGTTCTCATCCACTTACGCGGAATTGGATCATTCGCAGTCCGTTGGGAATACAGTAGCTATGATTCGCGAAGGAAGTCGATCCGCTAAGTTTCACACGGTGATTGACGGTAGACGCGATCCGGCATTATACTTTGCTAACGTAATCAAAGCGCGACGTATGAGTCGGAGGGAGGGATTCTTTGCGAGCCTGATTATTATAGAAAACGGCGATTATAAATATGACATATCTCTCTTAAGAGTTACTCTCGGTTAAATATATACAGGAGTAGACGAGGAAGAAAAATCCGCGCTCGTCTATCTTTCGAATAAACGAATAAATTTATTTATTTCTTTTTTCTTAATTTTTATTATAAATTTATTTATTTGAACGCGCGACTTTGATTGTTTCCAAAAGAATTTCTTCTCTCGCTTTCTTTTTAACTATAGATCTTTTCCATCGATTCGGACTCGTGGAAAACATCTAATATAAATAAAGGAACAAAAGAATTCCTTCTCTCGCTTTCTTTTCATCTTTAGATCTTTTCCATCGATTCGGACTCGTGGAAAACGCCTAATATAGATAAAGAAACAAAATTGGGTCAGCGTATCACATTAATGCAATTGAATCTTATTTGAATATTGACGTTGATATATCTCTTGATTCCAACTTATTCGATCCAGTTAGACGTGGTAGACGGGCAATGCCGTCTCGGCCTACTCGATTAACAAAGAACGGCGTGGAGAATGGGAGCAACGGACTACTATACGCGCGGAAAGCCGTAAAATCATTCGCTTATAATGACGTTCTTGATGGAAAATGCATGAATTTTCTTGTTACAGGCCTAACGGGGGAGACCGGCCGCGAACGGGAGTTTTTTCCCGTTATCTCGACGAGGCGAGAAGAAAGGGGGAAAGAAAAAATTTCGACGCGAGTTTTTGCAAAATCTCTCACGGTTATCGGCCACGGGACCGCGAATTAGGCGATAAATAAATCAGGTAAATCACTCGGCACACATTGCCCGCCGTTCTCTCTCGCACGCGCGAGCGTTCGCGCTGCCGGAAGCGCGCAAAAAAAAACGCATGTGTTATGGACGATTTCGGATTTCGCTCGCGAGCACGGGAGAAACAACTTCTATTCCGTTAAACGCGTGCGAAGTTCACGCGTTTGTTCGAGCCGTCTCTCTCGCACAGCGTGACGGATCTGCGAATTCAGGCGCATCGGCGACGATGACGGTCGTTAATTTGATTAGCGTTAAAGTGATCGTAATCGTCCGAGATAAATGTCAATCGGATTCGGAGGAAAAATGAAATCAAATTTTGAATCATATTTATTTTTAAGTGATTTCTTTCTTTGTTATATATAAATAACAAAAAAAAAAAAATTACTTTTTATACCTAGTTTTTATATAAAATAGAAATTGGATGAGTTAGTCAGCCTTCATGAAAGAAGAAAGCTAATTTTGAATAAAGTTCTTTTTTATGCTTTCTGCTTTCCATCTTATCGCACGAGAAGAAAAAGAAATCCGTTTTTTATTACATTATTTTTAATTATATTTAGATATCAATATTGTAAATAAAATAGAAAATGACGTATTAATCAAAGTATAATGAAGAAAAAGAACAAATATCAAATTGAAATTTTTTACAGATTTTTTTTTTTCCGTTCCCAAATTTACTGCATAATTTTATTTCATAATGGAAATTATTATTTAATTAAAAATAATTAAATCCGATAATTAATCAGAATTATGAAACAGTTGGATCGTCGATTAAAGTCTGGCAATTAGCAATCGTGAAATATATTCAATCTGAATTTAAAAAATACCATCAGATGCTTGCTTAAAATAAATGAGTAGATGATATAGTGGTGGCTTGTCGCTCTACCAATTACAATAATAATTCAAACTGAACTTAACGGTGCAACAATACAGATATTTAATCAGAATTATGAGACGGATTCTATCGTTAATTACGTCCGTTTCCGAGAAACGCTTCGGAAAGTTTCGCGCTTTTGTTTTTTTGTTTTGTTAACTCGCAATTTATCTCGATGCCATCTAATTATACATAGCGGAATCGTATGATCGCGCCAGTGAATAATCCGTGGATACATCTCCGGAACGCAATCATCGTATATAATTATTATATCATGGCAAACGTTCTAAAATTAACAGTCTCTTCACGAGTCTTAAACCTGATTTTATTAAATTATTCTCTGGAAAAAATATTGTAAATTATAGATCGATTACACATCTTTGCGCGTATCGGAAGGATGAAACGCCTAACATTACGTCACGAAAACTTTATCACGTCGATGCGACGGCATTCGCATGGTAATGTCGATTATGGCCGACGATCGATCTGTCTCGATCGCAAGAGGCATCGCGTTGATCACTCCCGCAGGCCATTTATGGCAGCTCGCGAGACGCGGCTGTCAACCCTGAATCGCGCGAACGATCGCCTAGCGATTAGAATGCAACCGCACGGCGTTTAACGCGGACGATCGTTCTTTAATGTGCGCGACACCTACACACGCAAATACACGCGTATACACGCATAGTGTATAGCGCGTTGTGCAAGAGAGACATGTGCGACGGGGTCGCTGCCCACATGCGTTGCGCGACACCCACATAAAACGCAGCTACCGACTTGACTGTCGATGGTCTCCCTGATCTCCGTCAATTATAGACTCGGCGAACTCGTGCGTGTGTTCGCTGATAAAATATTGCGCCGACGGTCATTTTCAGCGTGGTCGGTGATATTTGAACGTCGCGGAACGACCTTGCAAGTCGAATGCGATAGATCGTAAAAGTTGTCAGTATTTTTCCTCTGCAGTATGTACAAGTGTCTCGTAGAACCAAGGGGGAAATTGAACGTTTCTGCAAATTGAATTAATTTATTGGCGTCGAAATTTATTGTGAATGCGACAGATTGCGAGAGTCAATTATTTTAATTTAATACTTTTTTCTCTATTATTTAATTATTTCTTTTATATTCCCTCTCTTCGAGAAGAAAGAGTTTTTGCACGTATTAATTAAAAAAAAATAAGACAAAATCTTTTGCCATATATCAAATAAACGGCGATTTTTTTAAATATGTCTTTATTTTACAAATAAAATTGAAAATCAAATTGATTCTTATGAAGTCGTTCGCGATTTCTCTTCAGCATGACGTGTAAATTAATAAAAAAAACGAGAAATAACAGGAGAAACATTATTTATGTTGACAACAGGCCGTAACAGACAGTTATATTCGATTTATATAATCAACTATTAGCTACATTTTATTACTATTAATTATATATATTCAAGATTATCGTAAATAAAATTATTATTATTATATCCAAGAAAAGTTTTTTCATCTTTAAGTTACAAACAAACATTAATTGACAAACTTTAATATTCGATACTAATATAATGACATTCGAATTTTCAGGTGAACAAGCATGAGACGTTTCGAATGATTTTTAATCATTCTGGTGATAAAAACAATCGATCGAAATAAACGAAGGAAGATGGTGTATCGGGGCAGTTTACAGACAGACGATCCCAGAGATGCGCCGAAGCTGGTCCGGATATCTCCGCTGCGTAGCAGCAGGCAAATAAATTCGACCGGGCCGAATTCACGAGCCGCCGTCTCTGTTAAGGGCCCGACTTATCACAGCTCGTACGCGATGCCGATCGATGCTCATCGGGCGCGATTGATCGAGGAGAGGCGATTGGGTCGCGAGCGGGACATCGAGTCGGTCGAAAAGGTGATCATGAGAACCACCGGCATGAAGATCGGGACGCCGAGGTTACGCAATATTAATCAGATTCGCGAGACCGTTTTCGTGGACCAGTCGCTTAGACCGATGGACCAGATCGGCAAATCGGATTCGAGAAATCGACCACGCAGCGTCGCCGTTGGTCTCGAGGAGGGTAACGCCAGAATATCGAGGACCCACAGTTCTCTTCTAGCAGACCTGAAAGACTTGGAGAGACTGAGAAACACTCCATCGAAAAATCACAGAGGTCCTTTGCAGAGGACGGAAGGCTCGGAGTCGAAGTTGATCTTGAATAAAAAGTACGACGCGCCGGCTTCAGCCAAGATCCGATCGGACATCTTCAGGATCCAGCAGATGTTTCAATCTGCGGATCCTTCGTCAAGGACGGTGATCAGGAGTAGTAATGATAGGAAAATCAAGAACGATGCGGAGAAGGAGAAGAGGAAACCTGGAACAGAGATGAACAGGACTCGGTTGCTGGCGCAAAAGCTTCTGGAAGCGTCGAGGAGTAATCGGGAGTCTTTGAAGGATCAATGTAACAATCCAAAGAATATGTCCAACAGAGCATCAAATAAGGAAATGAAAGGAAAGGCATCGAATAAAGTATATCAAGAGAAGATTTTGGAGGAGGATCCGAAAGATAAGCACAAAATGGCCAGGCAGAAAGAAGAAGCAAATTGGGATGATCAACCGCGTCCGCCCGTTCGCAGGAGGCGAAACTCGAAGAATCGAGGATGGAAGGATGCAGATCCTTACGCGGACGAGCATTTGCGCGAGGATCGAGGTTTTGGTGATCCTCTCGGTCGCAAGGAGGACTCGCCGAACGGGACAGCGAGTACGGAAGAGAATTCCAAGGCCAGTTCTAATCTGGAAAGACCGGATATTCTGGACGGGCTGTTGAAGGAGTCCGACCAGCAGCTGGCGGACCTGAAGAGCGATCTCGGCGAGAGAGGACGTTCGCGGAGTCACTGGCGAGGATTCGTGCAATCCATGAGGCTGCACGATGTGGAGCTTCATTCTGACAGCGAGGACCAGCGGAAGGGTAAGTTCGCAAATTTCATGTACTTTGAAAAATATTTTAATTCTGAAATTCTCTCGCAAATTTTTATATATTTTGCGTTTGTGTGAATACATAATCTTCATTGTAATAAGTTAGCGGTCACAAAACTGCGAAGCTTTGCGAAATAAATTTTAGATAAATTAAAGTATGAATATCGAATGAAAGCAAACTATCAAATTTCTACTAGCATCAATTATAATTACATCACGATTTATATAAAACAGTAAGCTTCGTGAAAGAGAATATCGCGATAGATGAGTATCGGTTTATTGGTGTCATTCTGCGGATTTTGCTGGCATCTCGTTTAACGATGCCTGTTGAAGAAAGGCTTCGGGTTTACCACTTTAATACCCGCGGGCTATTTAAAGGAAAAGAGCACGTTTTACAAACCGACAGATTTGATTAGCGACGTTTGTCGAGGTATTTAAAATTACGGTACAACCGGCGTGCCTGTTAATCCCTCGGGGACCGAAGCACCCCTATTTTTAGACGCTCCCTCGCTCGCTCGTTCGCTCATTCGTGTTACTATCGCAGGTCAGGGTAGTGTGTCTCCAATATAGAGTGTGCGTAGTTGGAGTGTTCTCTCGAACATATGTCCCTATATATGGATTTAAGCCAGACGCGTACCAGAGAAAGCCTCTTCTCCGGTTCCGCAGTGAAAGATTTGAGTTGATGAGCATCCCGAGCATTTTTGAGCACCCTCAATTGCGTATACAAAACTGGACACTTATATATACAAGTGATGAATCCCAAAACTGAATTTTTCGAGCATAAAATTTATGAGCCGAAGCATAATTGTGTTTATCTATTCGTTACATCGATAGTTTACTTATATTTATTTACTTATATTTATTTTTTGTATTTATATTTATTTTTAGCTTATATTATTTTTATTTACGTATTTTTATTTATTTATAATTCTTTTAAGATTAGAGAAAACCTGAGAGGATAATAATGCATAAAATTAATTTTAATTTATAGTAATAGATCTCATTTCATTATAGTAAAATTAAATAAATTTCCAGAAGCTGTTAAATATCAGTTTATAAACATTTGACGAGGGATAATAAACGTGTACCTGCATTTTATTTAATTGATACAAATCGCATTTTGATGAATACCAAAAATGTCGATACATTCTCACGATTACATCTATAAGGAAATTTTCTGGTTCTTTATATATATGTATATGAATGCGCGAGTGGTACGGCATCGCCGTCACCTTTACTTGAACGCAAAACGTAAAAAAGGTGTTCGGCGACAAGCGTATCTTGTACCGCTCTTTTATCCTAGTTAAGCATTCTTATCCAGCTTATCATCTTACATGTAGACTCACTATATCTCCTCGGTTGCGTACGTGCCCGCCCGATGACTCAAGAATGTTGATACGCGCTATAATTCTCGGTTAAGACAGTCAACTGCATTTATGCAGGATACGCAATATGCGGAATATAATAAAAAAATAAATAAAGGAATTTATAAGCGCAGTTAATTGAAGATTCAATTAAAAAACGCGACAATTCAATATTCAAATTATTTTTATTAATTTGGCACAAGAAAGGATGTATTTCAAGATATTGTCAAAGACAAAATTAAAATTGATTCTTTCTTAAAAAATAATTAATGCCATCGTGTCAGAGCAAAGGAATTTATAATTTTACATCGTATTAAAAATTAAAATAGCATAAAACAAAATATTCGTCAAATATATACATTTGAAATGAATTTCTTTTCGGCACGTTGCAAAGAGTTTCGTGTTGCATTTACAAGATAGATATCGTCACATTACGCCGACCATATGTAATCTTGCTGCAATGCGAAGCCGTCCTTCCTTTCTCTCTCTCTCTCTCTTTTATCCTTCTCTAGGGAAGACTCATAAAATAGCCGCCTCGGGGGAAAAATTTCTGAATCAAAGGATCTCGGGTCGTCAGTGGCCCCGTGAAAGGGTTAATCCTTTCTCGCGTCGTGTTTGAAATACCGCGTTTACGCTTGAACTATGCACCTATGCCCTTCTCGGATGCTTGCCTGTTCGCGTAATACCGTGCCCGAAACCCCAGAAGGGGGCACGTTTCTCCCTCTCGCGTCGCGCGAAATATGTGGTATTTGTATTCTCACGGTATCGCGAAAGTTTTCATAAACGAAGGAGGAACGTGTATCGCGCTAATTAACAGTCCGATGACACGCGATCATTTTTATCGTTCGCTCTGACAAGACTCGCGCGATTCGATTGCGTAAACATCGCGCAGTGCAAGAGATTTGTCTAATGTGTAGGGAATATAATTATTTTAATCGTTTATTTACGAACACATTTTCTTGCTCTTCAAAATTTCATTTAAATTTATTTTATTTAACGTGATATTAAAATTCGAAAGATATATCCCAGAGAAATATATACATTTGTATAATTTCGAAAACAAAATGAAAATCAAATTATATTTTTCACAACACAAATTATTTATTCTCTAAAAAGTGAGAAAATCATTAATTTAACATCAATAATAATTTCGGATATTTCGTAACAAGAGCGCGCTTTTTTATCAAATTTAGAAACGTTTTTTTGATATTGATCGGCACAAACATAGATTATCCGATATTGCGTAAATATTGAAGCAAATATCGACAACTTTACACGCCCATGTAATAATTTTTTACAACTCGCCTAATCGTGTTAATCTCGTGTAAACCTTGCAGCGTGTCAAACTAATAGAACTGATTCAACAGAATAGATCGTAACAGCCGAAAGGTCGTGTATAACAAAATTCTAGACACAATAGCGCATCGACGCGATAACCATGATAGATATCGCTACGTGATATGCAATATACTGCATTGCATTGGAAATATTCGTTCAATTTCTTTGGCATATGATATCACGAGGTTTTCTTATGTAGGATGTTTTAGAATCCCTGATCTAAAATTTTAACGAGGAATTTGGAGACAATTCTTTTTTTTTCGAGGAGATTCTGAAAAGCTTATGATTATCAAATTTAGTAATTATTAAAATTAATATTAAAAAATTGTTTTATACATCGAATGTTTAGTTAAATTATAGATTTTTTAACAATTTTCTAACAAATTTTATTTTTATCTTCAATTTTTCTATCATATAAAAGACTAAGCCTGAAATTGCAATCATATTTTAAATATATTTATCTTTAATTAAGTAAAAGATTATATTTTTAGTCGCTGTAAAATTCTGGTTTCCGTTTTATCGAGAGAAAATTGACTCCAAATTCCTCAATGGATCCACCGTTAGAGGACCGATATCCCGTGTAGCATTCACCCTGTGTAAGCATTGACGGCCCTTGCCCTTGAGTCTACGCCCTAATATTGATCCGACATCCCCACCATGGTGGGTCACATTGGTGATCCCCCCCTTTCTTCTACCCCGCCGTTGGGGGCCGTTGATCGTCCATACATCGTTCTGATGCGCCACGCCGTCAGTGTAAACGTGGCTGTCAAACCGTTAAGACTTTGTAGACCGATCGATTGATAGTTCGTACCTTCAACGCCGGTCTTCTCCCTTTTCCTGCTCTTCCTTCGTCACTTCCTCTTACGATTCGCCACGATGCCGCCCTACGTCACAAAATATCTCAGTGCAGATGCGACCACGCGGTAGGATACATGCTCTCCGTTGCGGATATGGTGCTCTGTGACGTCTGTGACAGCAAAGGTGAGGGTGATTTTCTCTCTTTTCTTTATAACTGACGAATATCGGGTGAGGAGAGATACGCGACGTTGTCATGACGAAGGGACTCTCCTCTTTAATTCTTAATTTGGAAATAATTTTGCATCACTGTTTTTAAATATATTTGGAAATTGAAAATCCCCCGAGGTGAAAGAAAAATATTTGCAACGAGAAGAATGTGAATTGAATTTTATCAATTAAAGCTTAATGCGAAAATTTCTAAGTGTCTCGGTGGCACTCATCTGCTTCTTTTGTAATTAAATTGACATCTTTTTTCTTAATGGCAAAGATTTAACATCTTTATTTGGATTTTAAAAAAGATTGCTTTATATCACATTTTGCATAGAGATATAATTATATAATTAGAAATTATTATAAAAACCATTAGAAAATCTCCAGGTATTATTCACGATTCTAAGCGTGAAGATTTCAATGTAACTTTGATATATTCACGAAAACGAATACAAATTTGCTCTCCCGTGATTACTAATTGATGCCATTATCTCGCGACGTATGTTAACTTTTAAAGAAAGAAAAAAAAATCTACGTCGGCGAAGAGGTCACAGATTTCGCTTAGCAGAGAAATTCCAAGGGAAGGTGGAAGGGAAAGTTTGCGATGCCGGAGGGACAACGGGAAATTGCGGGACTTTCCTGGGGAACGCGGAATTTCCGCAAGGGAAAAGGGTTTGCGAGAGGTATGATGTGACGGGTAAGCGTTTCACGTGCACGTAGCACGAGATCGTGTGAGTGATACGACGGACTCGACCTTTGACACGGGTGAAGGTGAGATTTTACGACCTTATGCAATGCTATGGGTAAACCTTATCTCAAGGTAGCGGGTGATTTTCGCGAGCAGATTCGCAAATGCTTTGCGTTAATTCGACGTGTAATCTTGGAGAAAGATGCGTCGTATCAAGATAGATCCTAGCAACATATAGGATGTTGTACGGGAAAGTAATTTTCCCGTAAGGCTTAATATTGATGTCAAAAAGATCTTTATTATACAGTAATAGATATATACTTAAATTATATAATTATATATAATAATATATATAATTTAA